AGGGGATTGGGCAGGACTGACAGCTGCAGAGTAGATGGCGCAGCCTGGACCAGCCAGGGCATGGGCAGCAGAAAGGGCAAGGACTTGTGGAAGGATACTAGCACATGTAGTTCTTTCCTCGAGCGTAGGAAGGAAGACAAAAAGGTCAGTGGGGGAGGGAAAGAAGGAGAGGGGAGAGCTGGGAGAGGAGGTATAGGGAAGCGGCGGGAGGGGATTGGGCAGGACTGACAACTGCAGAGTAGATGGCGCAGCCTGATGACCAGCCAGGGCATGGGCAGCAGAAAGGGCAAGGAGTTGTGGAAGGATAGCACATGTAGTTCTTTCCTCGAGCAGGGGATGGAGGGGATGGGGCAGGACTGACAGCTGCAGAGTAGATGGCGCAGCCTGATGACCAGCCAGGGCATGGGCTTGGGGAAGGATAGCGCATGTAGTTAGTAGTTCTTTCCTCGAGCAGGGAAGGGAGAGAGAGATGTCAGAGGTGGGGGACATTTCCGTATTGCAGAATGCATGTACATAGTTGCCTGGTCAGCAATCTCACTTTCACCGTTGGTCCATGGCTGGGTCCAGTGGCTCTGACTTTGGGAAGAAGGAGCAACTGAACAGTAGATGGCACAGAAAGGCGATAGACAGAAGGGCTGTGTCGATCGATCTATCTACCTAATCTAATCTAATCTAATCTAACCTGATCTTATCTATCTACTGAAGGCAAAAAGCTTGCGTGGACCTGAGTAAATGGCCAAATAAAGCCAATTCTCCAGCACATGAAGCCAACCAAGCTGTTGTATCTTCTAAGCCGTTTACTTGAATTTGAAAGCAGAGGCTGGTTGCAATATCCAGTCCAGTACAGAGAAGCTTACTTGGGAAGACAGGAGAAGACGAGGAAAAATACATGGCGCAGCTGTTTTTGGGAACCGGGAAAATGTCTAGTAGATGGCTCTGAGAGCGGTGGCTTTTTAGTCACCGGTTTCATCTACTTTTACCCGCGCACATTTGGAACCCACTTGGCTAAAACGCCATCTATGGCCCTCGCTCATTGCCATCTACTCTTGAAGTACTGTATAGCTATCTTTAGCCCTCGTTTGAATGCGAAAGTCGTTCCAAATTTGCACATATCCGGGTCCCCCGAAACCGAAGTCTTCTTGCTGACCCAGGCTGCCGAAAACCAATTCAGCGACAGCGTTGGCATTCTGCCCAGGCGTATTCATGGCCTGAGCACTAGTTCCTTTCACAAATGAAACATGTCTTCATTTTACTGAAGCGGAGTTGTTTCATGAAGCAAGCATTAGCTGCGCACACGAAAAAGTGTTGCATCAGCACTAAAATGTTCATGGCAAAGATGTTTATCTTCCATATGTGGCATGCGTAACAAGCAATCTGTGCTCCCCACTGTAATGCTCTTCGCCTCGCAGGCCTTCAGATCGATGTTGTCATAGCCAGCGCCTAGCAGCTAGCAACCCACTGTCTACCAGAGCGACAGACTTTTTGAATTCAACTTTGCTTTCCTTTTCACCAAGAGTCGTCCTGGTGATGGCCTTCTGTAAAAATGAAAAATGAATTGCATGTCAATGCAAGTGTGAAGCCTGCACGCACCACAATCTTCATCTTGCTGGCCTTATCAAGAACTGCCTCACAGGTGACCACGGTATGTACTCAGATACTTAGATTCAATCATGGGCTAGCTCCGATCCGCTTGTGATGAATGGCTTGCCGGCTTGCCATCTTCGCCGTTCACTGTTCATACTCCAGGCCTGGTCCACTATGTCAGATCGGATGATCATGGCATCAACATCTGCAACGGCTGCAAGGAGCTCATCCTGCACTAAGAGGTGACCCCACAAGAACCGGAAGAAAGACCTTAAGAAGCAGACATGGCAGTTATGGTATCACCTGTTCCGGCTTCATGAGGTTGTTGGGGTCACCGGGGGTCACTCTTGGCCAGCCAGTCCTTGCTCTTGTAGTTCTCAAGCCTTTTCAAGGTATACTTGGCCGCCTCGAAGAAGCAAGAAAAATGAACCTTATCTTCTGGATGTCGTCACCGGCTGTCCTACTGGAAGGGCCTTGCAAACATCCTCGATCTTATTCACTGCTCCAGCAGCAAAGGCCTCTCGGAACTCCGTCACAGGCATTGAAAGAGCCTTTGAAAGAGAAACTGTTTCAGCATTTTTGGAGGGGTTGCTGAGGGGAGGAGAGGTAGAAGGTAGCTAGTTGTAAGAAAATGCTAGGCAAGATTGCAGGCCTTTTCTGTGGCCAGCAGCACAGTCCTTGCCTTTCCAGCCTCAGGTGCTGCGGAAAGCAACATTGTAATTGAGCCCAATTTGCAACCAGGAGCATGATCCGGTCAAGCGTTTGGTCTGCATATGTGGCCTTGCAAAGCAAAATCGCACCTTTGTCCTTACATCCTATTGCAGCAGGTGGCCCGCCCCGAATTGTGACGCAAACTGGTGTCAACATAAAAGCTTCAGATAAGATACCTCGCCAGCCATGTCTTTTGGATGCGCAAGGGTTCAGAGCCAAATGCGCTAAATCTCCGGACTTCGGCTTCACACAAAATGCTCTTTCACCAGAATCGATGTGGACTTTCTGTTTCATGCATACACAGGTAGAAGGGGTATTTCCAGAGGGGTTTCAGCAAAGGGGTTGACAAAATGCTGGAGGAAATGAATGAGACCGTTGGTACTCAGGCTCTCCTCCAGGAGCTCCCTCAAAACTAGAGATCCCGCGTTGTCCATTCTGCCGCCACAGGATTTCGCTTTGAGTTGAATACAGGGCTTGCCGCTGGGTTCAGATCTTTCAGACGGGCCTGCTTCAAGAAGCACATTGATTCAGGTAGAAAAGAACCCCTCAGTGCAAAGTGGGTGACTGTCAAGGGTCTGGAACAACAAATTAAGCTAGCAATCAACAACACAAGAGTGATGTCCAACACAACTGAAAGCTAGAAAGCGTGGGGAAAAATAGATGAGAGAGAGAGAGAGACACTCTGAGCTATGGGCACCTGTGCATTGTGCTCGGCGCATAGCCCGCCTTTCCTGAGGAAAGAAGGCGACTGCACGGAAGGACAAAGGATCAGCGTACGTCGAACAAGCCATAATTTGTCTTCAAATAATGACTGTCAACAACTTGTCGAGGAACATCATCTGCCAATCACAATCATGGATATGAAAACTAACACCTTCTTGTCCGGTTAGCTGTTGTTCTGGATACAGTATATCCTGAGGGTTGAGTCACTCTCAAGGCTTCTATCAGAAGCATGCTCGATGCATGTTTGCAGTACATTCAGTCTGGAAGGCTTTGCAATACAAACCACAACACACCAAGATCTGGCAACTCATGCAACTTTTGAATTCAACCCAACAGACTCATGACAAGTATCTTGCAGTCATGAGCCACTGCTGCCCGAAAAACATTCTGCTTCTGAACTTACGGAGAGACACAGGATTCTTCAGAACCTCTCCAAAGGTTGCCATCAGAAGCATCAGTCTCTCTGGAAGGCTTTGCAAAACACAACATCTGGCAACTCATACAACTTTGGAAATCAAGCCAGCAGACTCATGACATATCTTGCAGTCATGAGCCACTGCTGCCCGCAACACATTCTGCTTCTGAACTTACGGAGAGACACAGGAGCGTTCAGA